GGGTGTAGTAGAGACTCAGGGTGTAACAGATACTCAGCGTGTAGTAGAGACTCAGGGTGTAGTAGAGACTCAGGGTGTAGTAGAGACTCAGGGTGTAGTAAAGACTCAGGGTGTAGCAGAGACTCAGTGTGTAACAGATACTCAGGGTGTAGCAGAGACTCAGGGTGTAGCAGAGACTCAGGGTGTAGTAGACTCAGGGTGTAGTAGAGACTCAGGGTGTAGTAGAGACTCAGGGTGTAGCAGAGACTCAGGGTGTAGTAGAGACTCAGGGTGTAGTAGAGACTCAGGATGTAGTAGAGACTCAGGGTCTAGTAGTAGACTCAGGGTGTAACAGATACTCAGGGTGTAGTAGAGACTCGGGGTGTAGTAGAGACTCAGGATGTAGTAGAAACTCAGGGTGTAACAGAGACTCAGGGTGTAGTAGAGACTCAGGGTGTAACAGAGACTCAGTGTGTAACAGATACTCAGGGTGTAGTAGAGACTCAGGGTGTAGTAGAGACTCAGAGTGTAGTAGAGACTCAGGGTGTAGCAGAGACTCAGGGTGTAGCAGAGACTCAGGGTGTAGCAGAGACTCAGGGTGTAGTAGACTCAGGGTGTAGTAGAGACTCAGGTTGTAGTAGAGACTCAGGGTGTAGTAGAGACTCAGGGTGTAGCAGAGACTCAGGGTGTAGTAGAGACTCAGGGTGTAGTAGAGACTCAGGATGTAGTAGAGACTCAGGGTCTAGTAGTAGACTCAGGGTGTAACAGAGACTCAGGATGTAGCAGAGACTCAGGGTGTAGCAGAGAATCAGGGTGTAGTAGAGACTCAGGGTGTAACAGAGACTCAGGGTGTAACAGAGACTCAGGGTGTAACAGAGACTCAGGGTGTAGTAGAGACTCAGGGTGTAGTAGAGATTCGGGGTCTAGTAGAGACTCAGGGTCTAGTAGAGACTCAGGGTGTAGTAGAGACTCAGGGTGTAGTAAAGACTCAGGGTGTAGCAGAGACTCAGGGTGTAACAGAGACTCAGGGTGTAGCAGAGACTCAGTGTGTAACAGATACTCAGGGTTTCGCAGAGACTCGGGGTGTAACAGAGACTCAGGGTGTAACAGAGACTCAGGGTCTAGTAGAGACTCATGGTCTAGTAGAGACTCAGGGTGTAGTAGAGACTCAGGGTATAGTAGAGACTCAGGGTGTAGTAGAGACTCAGGGTGTAGTAGAGACTCGGGGTGTAGTAGAGACTCAGGGTGTAGCAGAGACTCAGGGTGTAGTAGAGACTCAGGGTGTAGTAGAGACTCAGGATGTAGTAGAGACTCAGGATGTAACAGAGACTCAGGGTGTAACAGAGACTCGGGGTGTAACAGATACTCAGTGTGTAGTAGAGACTCAGGGTGTAGTGGAGACTCAGGATGTAGTAGAGACTCAGGGTGTAGCAGATACTCAGGGTGTAACAGATACTCGGGGTGTAGTAGAGACTCGTGGTGTAACAGATACTCAGCGTGTAGTAGAGACTCAGGATGTAACAGAGACTCAGGGTGTAGTAGAGATTCGGGGTCTAGTAGAGACTCAGGGTCTAGTAGAGACTCATGGTGTAGTAGAGACTCAGGGTGTAGTAGAGACTCAGGGTGTAGCAGAGACTCAGGGTGTAGCAGAGACTCAGGGTGTAGCAGAGACTCAGGGTGTAGTAGAGACTCAGGGTGTAGCAGAGACTCAGGGTCTAGTAGAGACTCATGGTGTAGTAGAGACTCGGGGTGTAGTAGAGACTCAGGGTGTAACAGAGACTAGGGGTGTAGTAGAGACTCAGGGTCTAGTAGAGACTCAGGGTGTAGCAGAGACTCGGGGTGTAACAGAGACTCAGGGTGTAGTAGAGACTCAGGGTGTAGCAGAGACTCGGGGTGTAGCAGAGACTCAGGGTGTAGTAGAGACTCAGGGAGCAGTAGAGACTCAGGGTGTAGTAGAGACTCAGGGTGTAGTAGAGACTCAGGGTGTAGTAGAGACTCGGGGTGTAGCAGAGACTCAGGGTGTAGTAGAGACTCGGGGTGTAACAGATACTCGGGGTGTAACAGATACTCAGGGTGTAACAGAGACTCAGGGTGTAGCAGAGACTCAGGGTGTAGCAGAGAATCAGGATGTAGTAGAGACTCGGGGTGTAGCAGAGACTCGGGGTGTAGCAGAGACTCGGGGTGTAACAGATACTCGGGGTGTAACAGATACTCAGGGTGTAACAGAGACTCAGGGTGTAACAGAGACTCAGGGTGTAGCAGAGACTCAGGGTGTAGCAGAGAATCAGGATGTAGTAGAGACTCGGGGTGTAACAGAGACTCAGGGTGTAACAGAGACTCAGGGTCTAGTAGAGACTCAGGGTGTAGTAGAGACTCGGGGTGTAACAGATACTCAGGGTGTAGTAGAGACTCAGGGTCTAGTAGAGACTCAGGGTGTAGCAGAGACTCGGGGTGTAGCAGAGACTCGGGGTGTAACAGAGACTCGGGGTGTAACAGAGACTCGGGGTGTTGTCTGCTTCCTACCACCCCAGGTTGGCCGCTTCTGTGCAGCTGGTGAGCTGCCGGACTCCACCTCCCAGGTGCTGTGGGAGCGACTGTCACTCCGCGTCCCCGCATCCAGACAGGAACGCCGTGCCGCTCTCACCATCATCGCCATGATCGCAAGGTGGGCCTCGAACGCTCGCTCGCTCATTCACTCGCCCGCACGCAAGCTCACTCGCACACTCACTCACCCACTCACTCACTCACCTACACACTCACTCACTCACCCACTCACCCACTCACTCACTCACTCACCCACTCACCCACTCACTCACTTACTCACCCACTCACTCACCCACTCACTCACTCACCCACTCACTCACCTACACACTCACTCACCACTCACTCACTCACTCACCCACTCACTCGCTCACTCACTCGCACGCTCACCCGCTCACTCACCCGCTCACTCAATCACTTATTCGCTCACTCGCTCACCCACTCACTCACTCACTCAATCACTTATTCGCTCACTCGCTCACCCACTCACTCACTCACCCACTCACTCACTCACCCACTCACTCACTCACTCACCCACTCACTCACTCACCCACTCACTCACTCACCCGCACACTTACTCACTTATTAACTCACTCATTTGCTCGTTCGCTCACTCACTCACCCGTGCACTCACCCACTTGCTCACTCACCTGCACACTTATTCGCTCACTCACCCGCTCACTCACTTATTCACTCACCGGCACACTTACTCGCTCACTCACTACATCGCACACTTGCTCACTCACCCGCTCACTCACTCAACTGCACACTCACTGACTCATGTACCCGCACACGCACTCACTCACCCGCTCACTCACTCACTTATTCACTCGCTCGCTCACTCGCTCGCTCACTCACTCATCCACCCACTCACTCATCCACTCACTCATCTACTCACTCACCCACCCGCTCACGCACTCACTCACTCACCCACCCACCCGCTCATTCACTCATCCACCCACTCATTCACTCACCTACTGACTCACCCACTCACCCAACCGCCCGCCCACCCACTCACCCGCTCACCCGACCACCCGCCACCCACTCACTCACCCACTCACCCAACCACCCGCCCACCCACCCACTCACCCACCCACTCACCCACTCACCCACCCAGCTATTCGCCCGCCCGCTCACGCACTCACTCACTCACTCATACACTCACTCGCTCACCCACTCACCCACCCACTCACCCACTCACCCAACCACCCGCCCACCCACTCACTCACTCACTCACCCAACCACCCGCCCACCCACCCACTCATCCACCCAGCTATTCGCCCGCCCGCTCATGCACTCACTCACTCATACACTCACCTACACACTCACTCATACACTCACTCGCTCACCCACCCACCATGTCCCAATCTCACTCCCCCCCACCACCACCACCACCTCTCTCTCTCTCTGTCATCGACCGCAGCGCCGACCCGGACATCGTGGGGAGTAACCTGGACGCCCTCGTGACTCTCGGCCTGGGTGACGAGGTGGAGGAGGTGGAGCAGGAGGAGGAGGAGAGGGGGGTGAAGGAGGTGGGGAAGGAGGTTAAGAAGAAATCTCACCCCATGGACTACGAGCTGGCTCTGGGAGTCTGCAGTGCCCTCTCTGCCCTAGCACGCCCTCACAAGGTGCCTAGCTCTGGGAGTGAGTGAGTGAGTGTGAGAGTGAGTGACAGAGTGAAAGAGTGAGTGAGTGAGTGAGTGTGAGTGAGTGAATGAGAGAGTGGCTGAGTGAGTGAGTGAGTGGGTGAGTGAGAGAGTGAGTGGGTGAGTGGGTGAGTAAGTGAGTGAGTGAGAGAGTGGCTGAGTGAGAGAGTGAGTGGGTGAGTGGGTGAGTAAGTGAGTGAGTGAGTGAGAGAGTGGCTGAGTGAGAGAGTGGCTGAGTGAGTGAGTGAGAGGCCAAGTGACTGAGTGAGTGGGTGAGTGAGTGAGTGAGTGGCTGAGTGAGTGAGTGGGTGAGTAAGTGAGTGAGTGGGTGAGTGGGTGAGTGAGTGGCTGAGGTGAGTGAGTGAGAGGCCAAGTGACTGAGTGATTGGCTGAGTGAGTGAGTGACTGAGTGAGTGGCCGAGTGAGTGAGTGGCCGAGTGAGTCTGTGAGTGGGTGACCGAGTGAGTTAGTGGCCAAGTGTCTGAGTGAGCGAGTGGCCGAGTGACTGAGTGACTGAGTGAGTGGCTGAGGTGAGTGAGTGAGTGGCCGAGTGACTGAGTGAGTGGCTGAGTGAGTGAGAGTGAGTGGCCGAGGTGAGTGAGTGAGTGGCCAAGTGACTGAGTGACTGAGTGACCGAGTGGGTGAGTGAGTGGGTGAGTTGCTGAGTGAGTGAGTGGCCGAGGTGAGTGAGTGAGTGGCCAAGTGACTGAGTGAGTGGCCAAGTGACTGAGTGAGTGAGTGGCCGAGTGAGTGAGTGAGTGGGTGAGTCAGTGACTGAGTGGCCGAGGTAAATCAGTGAGTGGCCGAGTGAGTTTAGTGGCCAAGTGACTGAGTGAGTGAGTGGCCGAGTGAGTCTGTGAGTGAGTGAGTAGGTGAGTGAGTGAGTTGGTGACCGAGTGAGAGGGTGATTGGCCGAGCGAGTGGGTGAGTGAATGGGTGGGTGAGTGAGTGAGTGGGTGAGTGAGTGAGTAGGTGAGTGAGTGAGTGAGTGGGTGGGTGAGTGAGTAGGTGAGTGAGTGAGTGAGTAGGTGAGTGAGTGAGTGGGTAAGTGAGTGAGTAGGTGAGTGAGTGAGTGAGTGGTGAGTGAGTGAGTGAGTGGTGAGTGAGTGAGTGGTGAGTGAGTGAGTGAGTGGTGAGTGGGTGGGTGAGTGAGTGGTGAGTGAGTGGTGAGTGAGTAGGTGAGTGAGTGTGTAGGTGATTGAGTGAGTGGGTGTGTAGGTGAGTGAGTGAGTGGGTGAGTGAGTAGGTGAGTGGGTGAGTGAGTAGGTGAGTGAGTGAGTAGGTGAGTGAGTGGGTGAGTGAGTGAGTGAGTGGGTGAGTGAGTGAGTGGGTGAGTGAGTAGGTGAGTGGGTGAGTGAGTAGGTGAGTGGGTGAGTGAGTAGGTGAGTGAGTGAGTAGGTGAGTGAGTGGGTGAGTGAGTGGGTGAGTGAGTGTGTAGGTGAGTGAGTGAGTAGGTGAGTGAGTGAGTGAGTAGGTGAGTGAGTGAGTGGGTGAGTAAGTAGGTGAGTGAGTGAGTGAGTGGGTGAGTGAGTGGGTGAGTGAGTGTGTAGGTGAGTGAGTGAGTAGGTGAGTGGGTGAGTGAGTAGGTGAGTGAGTGAGTGAGTGTGTAGGTGAGTGAGTGAGTGGGTGTGTAGGTGAGTGAGTGAGTGGGTGAGTGAGTAGGTGAGTGGGTGAGTGAGTGAGTGTGTAGGTGAGTGAGTGAGTGGGTGTGTAGGTGAGTGAGTGAGTGGGTGAGTGAGTGGGTGAGTGAGTGAGTGAGTGGTGAGTGAGTGAGTGAGTGGGTGGGTGAGTGAGTGAGTGGGTGAGTGAGTGAGTGGGTGAGTGAGTGAGTGAGTGGTTACCCATCACCTTGTTGCCGTCCCTCAGGCGAGGGGAGGGGCCGATGTGAAGTCGTTCCGCCTCCCTCACGGCCACACCGTGTTCACCCGGCTACAGCACGCACTGCTCACCGGTACATCGCTCACCACTGGCACGCTCACCACTCACCACTGGCACGCTCACCACTCACCACTCGCACGTTCACCACTCACCACTAGCACGCTCACCACTCACCACTCACCACTAGCACGCTCACCACTCACCACTCGCAATCTCACCACTCGCACGCTCACCACTCACCACTCACCACGCTCACCACTCACCACTCGCACGCTCACCACTAACTCACCTACCTGCTCACTCATCCACCTACCCACTCTCACTCACCCCCCTCTCCCCCCACTCTCTCTCCCCACTCTCTCCCCTCTCCACTCCCCCCCACTCTCTCTCCCCCCACTCTCCCCACCCCCCCCACTCTCTATCTCCCCACTCTCCCCACTCTCCCCACCCACCCACCCACCCCCCAACTCTCCGCAGGCATCTGCCAGGCCTCTCCCGGCTGGTTGCCCTTCGCCACTGAGGCGCTGTCTGTGATCTACTCCCTCTCGGAGCAGCCGGAGGTCACGGGTGAGGCAGTGCTGAGGGGGGCCACCCTCTCGGTGCTGTCCCTGGCAGACCCCGCCGGCCACAACCTCCACCCCGGCCACAACCAGGGGGAGGAGGAGGGGGAGGAGGGTGGTGGTGGTGGTGGTGGTTGCAAGGATCCTGAAGGCGGTGGTGGTGGAGGTGGTGGTGAGTGGGCGGGGAGTTGCGGTGTTTAGTGGGTGGGTTGGTGGGTGAGTTGGTGGGTGAGTGAGTTGGTGGGTGGGTGGGTGGGTGAGTGGGTGGGTGAGTTGGTGGATGGCTGAGTGAGTGAGTGGATGAGTGAGTGGGTGGGTGAGTGGGTGAGTGGGTGGGTGGGTGGGTGGGTGAGTGGGTGGGTGGGTGAGTGAGTTGGTGGGTGGGTGGGTGGCTGAGTTGGTGGGTGGGTGGCTGAGTTGGTGGGTGGGTGGGTGAGTTGGTGGGTGGGTGGGTGAGTTGGTGGGTGAGTGGGTGGGTGGGTGAGTTGGTGGGTGGGTGAGTTGGTGGGTGGGTGAGTGGGTGGGTGGGTGAGTGGGTGGGTGGGTGGGTGGGTGGGTGGGTGAGTGGGTGGGTGGGTGAGTGAGTGGGTGGGTGGGTGAGTGAGTTGGTGGGTGGGTGGGTGAGTTGGTAGGTGGGTGGGTGAGTGGGTGGGTGGGTGAGTGAGTTGGTGGGTGGGTGGGTGAGTTGGTAGGTGGGTGGGTGAGTGGGTGGGTGGGTGAGTTGGTGGGTGGGTGGGTGAGTTGGTGGGTGAGTTGGTGGGTGGGTGGGTGAGTTGGTGGGTGGCTGAGTCAGTGAGTGGATGGGTGGGTGAGTGGGTGAGTGGGTGGGTGAGTTGGTGGATGGCTGAGTGAGTGAGTGGATGAGTGAGTGGGTGGGTGAGTGGGTGGGTGGGTGAGTTGGTGGGTGGGTGAGTTGGTGGGTGGGTGAGTTGGTGGGTGGGTGACTTGGTGGGTGGTTGAGTTGGTGGGTGGGTGGGTGAGAGGATGGGTGGGTGAGAGGATGGGTGGGTGAGTGGGTGGGTGAGTTGGTGGGTGGCTGAGTAAGTGAGTGGATGAGTGGGTGGGTGAGTGGGTGGGTGGGTGTGTGGGTGGGTGGATGGTGGGTGAGTTGTGAGTGGGTGGGTGAGTGGTTAGTCGTGGGTAGGTGAGTGGTGGGTGGGTGAGTTGGTGGGTGGGTGGTTGAGTGGTGAGTGGGTGGGTAGTGAGTTGGTGGGTGAGTGGTGAGTGGGTGGGTGGTTAGTCGTGGGTAGGTGAGTGGTGGGTGGGTGAGTTGGTGGGTGGGTGGTTGAGTTGGTGAGTGAGTGGGTGAGTGGTTGAGTTGGTGAGTGAGTGGTTGAGTTGGTGAGTGGTGGGTGAGTTGGTGGGTGAGTGGTGGGTGGGTGGCATACGGTGTGCCAAAGAACTTCAACACACACACACAGACACAACCCTGTCACCCTGTGTTGTGTTTTATTTTCCGCTTCAGATTCCAGTATTGTTGCGGAAGCAGCACCTACTGTAGCAGCAGCAGCAGCAGCAGCTGCAACATCAGCAGCAGCAGCAGCAACAACATCAGCAGCAGCAGCACCTACTGTAGCAGCAGCAGCAGCAGCTGCAACATCAGCAGCAGCAGCAGCACCTACTGTAGCAGCAGCAGCAGCAACATCATCATCAGCAGCAGCAGCTGCCGCTTGCGTTCCCACCGTGGCGCTGGTGCACCTGCTGTGGCTCGCAGGAGAGGTGGCACTCCGCCAGCTCGTCCACCTGGATGGGCCGGTGAGTCCCGGCCTCGCTCGCCCCTCCCGCCCGCTCGCCCTCCCGCCCGCTCGCCCCTCCGAACGCTCGCTCACGGGCGGATTCAGGAATAGGTTTTTACCCCTTTTTAACTGGCACACAAAAAAACTGACGCCTTTATTCAAGGCGTCAATGTCTGCAATGAGCGCAACGCTAGGCAGTCAAAATGCAAACAAAAATAGAGACAACTCTGATAATGATGATGGCACCGTCCTTGAATTTGATTGGTCCACACCCGAGACGGCTTTTCTTTAGAGCTCCTTTAGTCTCTCCACTGGTGTTGGACCAGAAGACGCCAAAAGGCGTGCAACTCAAAAAACAGCGCACCGTCAGAGTTATTGAGGGCTCGGGGTGAGCGTTTACATTATGAGACCTCTCCTTTGCCAGTAACAAGATATAGTAACGAGGTTTTTACCCTTTTAACTGGCACACAAACTGACGCCTTTATTCAAGGCGTCGTGTCTGCAATAACCACAACACAAGCAGTCAAAATGCAAACAAAAGAGACAACTCTGATAATAATATTGGCACCGTCCTTGAATTTGATTGGTCCACACCCGAGACGGCTTTCCTTAGAGCCCCTTTAGTCTCTCCACTGGTGTTGGACCAGAAGACGCCAAAAGGGGTACGATTTGCTCGCTTGCTCTTTCGCTCACTCACCCGTAAGCTCGCCTGCTCGCTCACTCACCCACTGGCTCGCTCACCCGCTCACTCGCTCGCTCACCCGCTCACTCACTCACTCATCCACTCGCTCACTCACCTGCTCACTCACTCACTCATCCACTCACTCACTCACCCGCTCACTCACTCACTCACCCGCTCACTCGCTCACTCACCAACTCGCTCACTTGCTCGCTCACCCACTCACTCATCCACTCATCCCTCTAAGCACTCACCCGCTCACTCACCCGCTCACTCACCCGCTCACTCACCCGCTCACTCACTCACTCGCTCGCTCACTCACCCACTCACTCACTCATCAACTCATCCCTCTAAGCACTCACCCACTCGCTCACTCGCTTGGCCACTCACCCACTCGCTCACCCGCTCGCTCGCTCGCTCACCCCTCAAAGCGCTCACCCACTCAGCACCCGCCTGCTCGCCAGTTTGCCCACTCACCCGTTCAGGCACTTGCTCATTCGCGTATCGACTCACTCATTCACCCGTATACTCATTCATTCATTCACTCACTCATTCACCCGTACACTCATTCACTCACCCACTCACTCATTCACCCGTACACTCATTCATTCACTCACCCACTCACTCATTCACCCGTACACTCATTCACTCACCCACTCACTCATTCATCCCTACACTCACTCATTCACTCACCCACTCACTCATTCAGCCGTACACTCATTCACTCATCCACTCACTCATTCACCCGTACACTCACTCATTCACTCACCCACTCACTCATTCACCCATACACTCATTCACTCACCCACTCACTCATTCATCCCTACACTCACTCATTCACTCACTCATTCACCCGTACACTCACTCATTCACTCACCCACTCACTCATTCACCCGTACACTCATTCACTCACCCACTCACTCATTCACCCGTACACTCACTCATTCACTCACCCACTCACTCATTCACCCGTACACTCATTCACTCATCCACTCACTCATTCACCCGTACACTCACTCATTCACTCACCCACTCACTCATTCACCCGTACACTCATTCACTCACCCACTCACTCATTCATCCCTACACTCACTCATTCACTCACCCACTCACTCATTCACCCTTACACTCATTCATTCACTCACCCACTCACTTACTCATTCACCCGTACACTCATTCACTCACCCACTCACTCATTCACCCCTACACTCATTCACTCACCCACCCACTCATTCATCCCTACACTCGCTCACTCATCCATTCACTCACTCATTCACCCGTACACTCACTCACCCACTCACCCAACCACTCACTCATTCATCACCACTCACTCATTCATACATACACTCATTCACTCACCCACTCACTCATTCACCCGTACACTCATTCACTCACCCACTCACTCATTCATCCTTACACTCGCTCACTCATCCATTCACTCACTCATTCACCCGTACACTCACTCACCCACTCACCCAACCACTCACTCATTCATCGCCACTCACTCATTCATCCATACACTCATTCACTCACCCACTCACTCATTCACCCGTACACTCACCCAACCACTCACCCACCCACTCATCCATCCACTCACTCACCCACCCACTCATTCATCCCTACACTCACTCACTGATCCATTCACTCACTCATTCACCCGTACACTCACTCACCCACTCACCCAACCACTCACTCATTCATCGCCACTCACTCATTCATCCATACACTCATTCACTCATCCACTCACTCATTCATCCTTACATTCGCTCATTCACTCACCCACTCAATCATTCATCCCTACACTCATTCACTCACTCACACACATCCACTCTGCTCCTGCTGCTGCTATTGCTGCTACTGTTGATGATGCTACATTGCTACTGTTGCTGCTACTGTTGATGATGCTGATGATGATGCGAGTCTGATGATGATGCTGACGACAACGCAGATGATGCTACTTTTGATGAAGCTACTCTGCCACTGTTGGCAATGCTGTTGATGTCCATGCTGCTGACGATGCTGCTGATGACAACGCTGATGATGCTGCTGCTGGTGACGATGATGATGCTTGACTGCTGCTGCTGGCTGATGATCATGATGATGCTGACGACAACGACGCTGATGATGATGCTAGTCTGCTGCTGCTGCTGATGATGACGACGCTGATGATGCTGCTGCTGGTGACGATGATGATGTTTGACTGCTGGCTGATGATCATGATGATGCTGACGACAACGACGCTGATGATGATGCTAGTCTGCTGCTGCTGATGATGACGACGCTGATGATGCTGCTGCTGGTGACGATGATGATGTTTGACTGCTGCTGCTGCTGGCTGATGATCATGATGATGCTGACGACAACGACGCTGATGATGATGCTAGTCTGCTGCTGCTGCTGATGATGACGACGCTGATGATGCTGCTGCTGGTGACGATGATGATGCTTGACTGCTGCTGCTGCTGCTGGCTGATGATCATGATGATGCTGACGACAGCGACGCTGATGATGATGCTGGTGACGATGATGATGATGCTAGTCTGCTGCTGCTGATGATGATGCTAGTCTGCTGCTGCTGCTGATGATGACGACGCTGATGATGCTGCTGCTGGTGACGATGATGATGTTTGACTACTGCTGCTGCTGCTGCTGCTGGCTGATGATCATGATGATGCTGACGACAACGACGCTGATGATGATGCTAGTCTGCTGCTGCTGCTGCTGATGACGACGACGCTGATGATGATGCTACCTTGTGCGGATGCTGATGACGATGACGCTGACGACGATGCCGGTCTGCTGCTGACGACGATGATGCTGGCGGCGACGCAGGTGTGCACGGAGCTGGTGCGACGTCGAGTTCAGTGCGAGGAGCAGGCTGAGAAGAATCAGCAGCAGCAGCAGCATCAGCAGCAGGTCAGCGCCAGCCTGCGCAAGGGCGCCAACCGGAGACACAGCCAGCGGCAGCAGGGTGGCAAGGTGAGGGTGGAGAGGGCAGGGTGACGTCACCGCCACTTGGCGGGCACGTGGCGGTTGTTGTTGTTGTTGTCTGTGTGTGTGAGTGTGTGTGTGTGTGCGTGTGTGTGTGTGTGCATCTGTGTGTGTGTGTGGGTATGCATCTGTGTGTGTTTATCTGTGTGTGTGTGAGTGTGTGTGTGTATCTGTGTGTGTGTGTGTGTGCATCTGTGTGTGTGTGTGCATGTGTGAGTGTGTGTGTGCATCTGTGTGTGTGAGTGTGAGTGTGTGTCTGTGTGTGTACGTCTGTGTGTGAGCGTGTGTGTATGTGTGCATCTGTGTGTATTGTGCATCTGTGTGTGTGTATCTGTGTGTGTGTGTGTGCATCTGTGTGTATTGTGCATCTGTGTGTGTGTGTGCATCTGTGTGTGTGTGTGCATCTGTGTGTGTGTGTGTGTGTGCATCTGTGTGTGTGTGTGTGCGTCTGTGTGTGTGTGTGTGCATCTGTGTGTGTTTATCTGTGTGTGTGTGAGTGTGTGTGTGCATCTGTGTGTGTGTGTGGGTGTGCATCTGTGTGTGTTTATCTGTGTGTGTGTGTGTGCATCTGTGTGTGTGTGTGCATCTGTGTGTGTGTGTGCATCTGTGTGTGTGTGTGTGCATCTGTGTGTGTGCATCTGTGTGTGTGTGTGTGCATCTGTGTGTGTGTGTGCATCTGTGTGTGTATCTGTGTGTGTGTGTGTGCATCTGTGTGTGTATCTGTGTGAGTGTGTGAGTGTGTGTGCATCAGTGTGAGTGTGAGTGTGTGTGCATCAGTGTGTGTGTGAGTGTGTGTGCGTCTGTGTGTGTGTGTGAGTGTGTGTCTGTTTGTGTACGTCTGTGTGTGTGTGTGTCTGTGTGTGTACGTCTGTGTGTGAGCGTGTGTGCATCTGTGTGTGTGTGTATCTGTGTGTGTGTGCATCTGTTTGTGAGTGTGTGTGTGCATCTGTGTGTGTGTATCTCTGTGTGTGCATGTGTGTGTGTGTGTGCATCTGTGTGTGTGTGTGTGCGCATCTGTCTGTGTGTGTGTGCATCTGTCTGTGTGTGCATCTGTGTGTGTGTGCATCTGTGTGTGTGTGTGTGTGCATCTGTCTGTGTGTGTGCATCTGTCTGTGTGTGTGCATCTGTGTGTGTGTGCATCTGTGTGTGTGTGCATGGGAAACTCTCCACTCTCTCCACAACTGCCCCATCACCGATTGGGAGTTGTGGGGGTGGAGTGTCCGATGGTACAAAATACCCAGGCAGGTGCTTAGTTTTGGTGGGGCTGATGGTAAGGCCCAACCTCTTAGTGGCATGCTCCAGTCTCAGCAGCAGCGTCTCCAACTCCTCCTCTGACTGAGCAGCTATTACCAAATCATCAGCATACATAACGTGGTTGAGCAATAGGGAGCCATCCCTTGACCGCACCCGGGCATCGATCAGCCTCCCATTATATCTGTACCATATGGAGATTCCCCCGGTACAGCTATTGAAGGCTTCACGAACTACGTGGTCAAAATAGATGTTAAATAATGTGGGAGCCAGAGGACATCCCTGTCGCACCCCAAGGTGTACAGGGAATGGCTCTGACTCCCGGCCACGTAGTTTTACCCGGGCCCGCTCACCATCATGAAGGTCCTTAATGATCGTGAGCAGAGGGTCAGGTACTCCAAAAGCACGAAGAACGACCCAGAGCCCAGGCCTACTGATGGTATCATAGGCCTTGACCAGGTCAATAAAGCAGAGATGTAGGTCTTGTTGGAATTCCCTACACCTCTGCTGTAGCAGACGGACAGAAAATATGGCATCTGTGCAGGACCGCCCTTTCCTGAAACCGCATTGGGGCTCCGCAAGCCTCTCCTCAGCGTGCCTGGCAAGGCGATGCTGAATAATCCTTGCCAGGACCTTTCCCGGCACACTGAGGAGTGAGATGCCCCTGTAGTTGTTACAGTCTGTGCGGTCCCCCTTCTTAAAGAGGGGGACTACCAGGGCATCCTTCCAATCCTGCGGAACCCGTCCAGTGGTCCAGACCGTTGTTATGATGTCATATAGGGCAGTCTGTGCACAAACGCCACCCTCCCTCAGCATTTCGCTTGGGAGATCATCTCTGCCCGCTGCCTTTCCTGGTCTCAGACTCCGGATCGCCTTCAGTACTTCCTCAACAGATGGCACCTCAGCCAGCCACTCACAGGGGGTGACTTCTTCCAATATTTGAGGCACCGCAGCCTCAGCAGGGTCATCCTCACTTTCTGCCACGATGTTTTCCTGGCTGAGGGATTTTCCCTCCCCCAGGACCTCACAGAAATGCTCAGCAAATCTGCAAACCTGTTCCTGGGGGTCGGAGATTGGATCACCGTTTTTTCCCCTAATGATGGTAATAGGTGTGGTGCTGCAGGTTACTTTTTTGATGGAGTTAAATAGAGATATGTGATCACGGGCCACTGAGGCAGAGTCCATCTCCTCAGCAACCCGCGACCACCACCCATCCTTGCAGCGCCTCACGGCTCTCCGAACCTCTGAGCGAAGGCTGCGGTAAGCCTCATTCTCTGACGTGGGATTCAGTAGCCGTTGACAGTGGGCCTGTCGCTTTTTCTCAACCATCCTGAACACCTCCTCTGTCAGCCAGGGTCTCTGGGGAGGTCTGGACCGCGTACCCAAAGCAGCCATTGCAGCTGCATGAGTCACAGTCCTAAACCTCGCCCATTTACCCTCTACATCAGGAGGAGTCGGGGACGATGCCAATCCCAGCCGCAAGCGATGATGAAATTCTCGCTTGCAACTTTCAGCAGATAACTGAGACCAGGCCACTTTAGGTCGGAATGGGGTCCTGGGTGTACACCCACCACCGGAGTGGAAGAATGGCAGGCGCATCTTACAGATGATTAGTCGATTGTCAGAGGGCAGATCAGCTCCACGGTAGGTCCTGGTGTCAAGGACATGGGCTCGCATCCGCTGGTCCGTCACTATGTAGTCCAGCAGATGTTCTTGCTTGGATCCGGCATGCATCCATGATGTTGTGTGGATGCGCCAATGCCGGAACAGCGTGTTGGTAATTACAAGCCCATGGGCTGCACAAAAAACTAGCAGCCTCCTACCGTTGTTATTGAGCTGATCTGGCCCATGCCCTCCAATCACTCCAGACCAGGTGCCAGTATCATGACCAACTCGGGCATTGAAGTCACCCAACATGATGACTCTATCCCGAGGGGCCACTTTAGCCAGCACCTGTGACAGGAGGTCATAGAAGGCATCTGACTCTTCGGCTTTGCCTGCATCCCTCCACGGATGTTCATCTTCGGTGGGGGCATAAGTAACCACGACCACCATTCCTCGCCTCCGGTTGATGGGAGAGTGGAGAGTTTCCCATACCTGGGCAGTGTGCTTATGACCGGCTCCAGTTTAACAGCAGAGGTCTCACTCCGAATCAGTCGAGCGGCAATATCTTTTCATCGGTTGCGTAACGCTGTGTGGAAGCTACCTGGTCTGTCGCTCCGCACTAAGCTTCAGGTCTTCTCGGCCACAGGCATTCCCTCCCTTCTCTACGCTTGCGAAACGTGGACCCCCCTAATGGAACATCTTCGCCGGTTAGAAACATTTAGGCTGGCCTGCCTACGATCCATCCTGGGTTTAACCAGACTGGATTGTGTGAGGAGCTCACAAATCCTTGAAAGATCTGGGCAAGGTCCCATCGGTGAGCTCCTCCGGCGGGCAAGGCTGCGATGGCTGGGTCAAGTAGCCCACATGCCCAGCCACCGCATGCCGAAACAGCTTTTGTTCGGCCGGATTGAGGGGGCTAAGCGGGCGCGGCACGGGAGTAGAGAAGAGATGGAGTGACGTGGTACAGGAGGACGTGGAGCTGAGTGGACTTGCCGATGACTGGTACCAGCGGTGTCAAGATCGGCCTCTGTGGAGGAGGCTCGTGAAGGACGCTACTGAGCAGTTGGAGGCAGTCGCCCTCCAACAACAACGGAGGGCGGAAGAGCGACGCTCACAACAACGAGCGGAGCGCCGGGTGGCTAAAGCACAGCAGGTTGGCACAGTAGGGGGCACAGGTGGTGCATCAGCCAGTCATCTCAGTCAGTCGACCCGTGGCACCTGGGTCTGCCCCGTGACCTCCTGCCAGCGGGCGTTCGACACTTCACGTGGCCTCAGGGGGCACATAGCCTGGCACAAGCGTCATGGTGACGTCACCGCCACTTAGTGGCGAATGGCGGTTGTTGTTGTTGTTGTGTGTGTGCATGTGTGTGTGCATGTGTGTGTATATATCTGTGTGTGTGCATCTGTGTGTGTGTGTGTGTGCATGTGTGTGTGTGTGCATCTGTGTGTGTGTGTGTGTATATCTGTGTGTGTATCTGTGTGCGTGTGTTTATCCCAGGAGAGCATGGGTGAGGATGATCTGGGTCTCAGCGGGGCCTCTGCGGAGGACGTGGAAGGAGAGCTGATCCGGCACGTGTGTGAGACCGAACTTCTGGCAGGTATGGACTCTACCCACCACCACCCCCCGTGTCTCACCCCCCGTGGCTCTCCCCCCGTGTCTCACCCCACCGTGTCTCACCCACCCCGTGTCTCATCCCCCGTGTCTCTCCCCCCGTGTCTCACCCCCCGTGTCTCACCCACCCCGTGTCTCACCCCCCGTGTCTCACCCCCCGTGTCTCTCCCCCCGTGTCTCACCCACCCCGTGTCTCACCCACCCCGTGTCTCACCCCCCGTGTCTCACCCCCCGTGTCTCTCCCCCCGTGTCTCACCCACCCCGTGTCTCACCCACCCCGTGTCTCACCCCTCGTGTCTCACCCCCCGTGTCTCTCCCCCCGTGTCTTACCCACCCCGTGTCTCACCCACCCCGTGTCTCACCCCCCGTGTCTCTCCCCCCGTGTCTCACCCACCCCGTGTCTCACCCCCCGTGTCTCACCCCCCGTGTCTCTCCCCCCGTGTCTCATCCCCCGGGTCTCACCCCCCCCTCTGTCTCACCCCCCGTGTCTCACCCCCCCGTGTCTCACCCCCCGTGTCTCACCCCCCGTGTCTCACCCCCCGTGTCTCACCCACCCCGTGTCTCACCCACCCCGTGTCTCACCCCCCGTGTCTCACCCACCCCGTGTCTCACCCCACCCCGTGTCTCACCCCCCGTGTCTCACCCCCCGTGTCTCTCCCCCCGTGTCTCACCCACCCCGTGTCTCACCCACCCCGTGTCTCACCCCCCGTGTCTCACCCCCCGTGTCTCTCCCCCCGTGTCTCACCCACCCCGTGTCTCACCCACCCCGTGTCTCACCCCTCGTGTCTCACCCCCCGTGTCTCTCCCCCCGTGTCTTACCCACCCCGTGTCTCACCCACCCCGTGTCTCACCCCCCGTGTCTCTCCCCCCGTGTCTCACCCACCCCGTGTCTCACCCCCCGTGTCTCACCCCCCGTGTCTCTCCCCCCGTGTCTCATCCCCCGTGTCTCACCCCCCCCTCTGTCTCACCCCCCGTGTCTCACCCCCCCGTGTCTCACCCCCCGTGTCTCACCCCCCGTGTCTCACCCCCCGTGTCTCACCCACCCCGTGTCTCACCCACCCCGTGTCTCACCCCCCGTGTCTCACCCACCCCGTGTCTCACCCCACCCCGTGTCTCACCCCCCCCGTGTCTCACCCCCCGTGTCTCACCCCCCGTGTCTCACCCCCCCCCCCCCATGTCTCACCCCCCGTGTCTCACCCCCCCGTGTCTCACCCCCCCGTGTCTCACCCACCCCGTGTCTCACCCACCCCATGTCTCACCCCCCCCCGTGTCTCACCCCCCATGTCTCACCCCCCGTGTCTCACCCCCCCCGTGTCTCACCCCCCCGTGTCTCACCCCCCGTGTCTCACCCCCCCCGTGTCTCACCCCCGTGTCTCACCCCCCGTGTCTCACCCCCCATGTCTCACCCCCCGTGTCTCACCCCCCGTGTCTCACCCACCCCGTGTCTCACCCCCCCCATGTCTCACCCCCCGTGTCTCACCCCCCATGTCTCACCCCCCGTGTCTCACCCCCCGTGTCTCACCCCCCCCGTGTCTCTCCATCTCACCCCCCGTGTCTCACCCCCCGTGTCTCACCCCCCGTGTCTCACCCCCCCGTGTCTCACCCACCCCGTGTCTCACCCCCCGTGTCTCACCCCCCGTGTCTCACCCACCCCGTGTCTCACCCCCCGTGTCTCACCCCCCATGTCTCACCCCCCGTGTCTCACCCCCCGTGTCTCACCCCCCGTGTCTCACCCCCCGTGTCTCACCCACCCCGTGTCTCACCCCCCCCCCCCGTGTCTCACCCCCCGTGTCTCACCCCCCCGTGTCTCACCCCCCCCCGTGTCTCACCCCCCCCCGTGTCTCACCCCCCGTGTCTCACCCCCCGTGTCTCACCCCCCCCATGTCTCACCCACCCCGTGTCTCACCCCCCGTGTCTCACCCCTCGTGTCTCACCCCCCGTGTCTCTCCACCCATGTCTCACCCCCCGTGTCTCACCCCCCGTGTCTCACCCCCCGTGTCTCACCCCCCGTGTCTCTCCCCCCGTGTCTTACCCCCCGTGTCTCACCCCCCGTGTCTCTCCCCCCGTGTCTCACCCCCCGTGTCTCACCCCCCTTGTTTCTCCCCCCGTGTCTCTCCCCTCGTGTCTCACCCCCCGTGTCTCACCCCCCGTGTCTCACCCCCCATGTCTCACCACCCGTGTCTCACCCCCCGTGTCTCACCCCCCGTGTCTCTCCCCCCGTGTCTCACCCCCCGTGTCTCACCCCCCGTGTCTCACCCCCCGTGTCTCACCCCCCGTGTCTCACCACCCCCCGTGTCTCACCCCCCGTGTCTCACCCCCCGTGTCTCACCCCCCGTGTCTCACCCCCCCGTGTCTCTCCCCCCGTGTCTCACCCCCCGTGTCTCACCACCCCCCGTGTCTCACCCCCTGTGTCTCACCCCCCATGTCTCACCCCCCGTTGTCTCTCCATCTCACCCCCCTGTCTCACCCCCCCACGTGTCTCACCCACCCCGTGTCTCACCCCCCGTGTCTCACCCCGCGTGTCTCACCCAACCCGTGTCTCACCCACCCCGTGTCTCACCCCCCGTGTCTCACCCCGCGTGTCTCACCCACCCCGTGTCTCACCCACCCCGTGTCTCTCCCCCCGTGTCTCACCACCCGTGTCTCACCCACCCCGTGTCTCACCCCCCGTGTCTCACCCCCCGTGTCTCTCTCCCACCTCCCGTGTCTCACCCCCCGTGTCTCACCCCCCGTGTCTCTCTCCCACCTCCCGTGTCTCTCTCCCACCCCCCCGTGTCTCTCCCACCCCCCGTGTCTCACCCCCCGTGTCTCACCCCCCGTGTCTCACCCCCCGTGTCTCACCCCCCGTGTCTCTCCCCCCGTGTCTCACCCACCCCGTGTCTCACCCCCCGTGTCTCACCCCGCGTGTCTCACCCACCCCGTGTCTCACCCACCCCGTGTCTCTCCCCCCGTGTCTCACCACCCGTGTCTCACCCACCCCGTGTCTCACCCCCCGTGTCTCACCCCCCGTGTCTCACCCCCCGTGTCTCACCCCCCATGTCTCACCCCCCGTGTCTCTCTCCCACCTCCCGTGTCTCACCCCCCGTGTCTCACCCCCCGTGTCTCTCTCCCACCTCCCGTGTCTCTCTCCCACCCCCCCGTGTCTCTCCCACCCCCCGTGTCTCACCCCCCGTGTCTCACCCCCCGTGTCTCACCCCCCGTGTCTCACCCCCCGTGTCTCTCCCCCCGTGTCTCTCCCCCCGTGTCTCACCCCCCGTGTCTCACCCCCCGTGTCTCTCCCCCCGTATCTCACCCCCCGTGTCTTACCCACCCCGTGTCTCACCCACCCCGTGTCTCTCCCCCCGTGTCTCTCCCACCCCCTGTGTCTCACCCCCCGTGTCTCACCCCCCGTGTCTCTCCCCCCGTGTCTCACCCCCCGTGTCTCACCACCCGTGTCTCACCCCCCATGTCTCACCCCCCGTGTGTCTCCATCTCCCCCCCGTGTCTCTCTCACCCCCCGTGTCTCTCCCACCTCCCGTGTCTCTCTCCCACCCCCCCGTGTCTCTCCCACCCCCCGTGTCTCACCCCCCGTGTCTCACCCCCCGTGTCTCTCCCCCCGTGTCTCACCCACCCCGTGTCTCACCCCCCGTGTCTCACCCCGCGTGTCTCACCCACCCCGTGTCTCACCCACCCCGTGTCTCTCCCCCCGTGTCTCACCACCCGTGTCTCACCCACCCCGTGTCTCACCCCCCGTGTCTCACCCCCCGTGTCTCACCCCCCGTGTCTCACCCCCCATGTCTCACCCCCCGTGTCTCTCTCCCACCTCCCGTGTCTCACCCCCGTGTCTCACCCCCCGTGTCTCTCTCCCACCTCCCGTGTCTCTCTCCCACCCCCCCGTGTCTCTCCCACCCCCCGTGTCTCACCCCCCGTGTCTCACCCCCCGTGTCTCACCCCCCGTGTCTCACCCCCCGTGTCTCTCCCCCCGTGTCTCTCCCCCCGTGTCTCACCCCCCGTGTCTCACCCCCCGTGTCTCTCCCCCCGTATCTCACCCCCCGTGTCTTACCCACCCCGTGTCTCACCCACCCCGTGTCTCTCCCCCCGTGTCTCTCCCACCCCCTGTGTCTCACCCCCCGTGTCTCACCCCCCCGTGTCTCTCCCCCCGTGTCTCACCCCCCGTGTCTCACCACCCGTGTCTCACCCCCCATGTCTCACCCCCCCGTGTGTCTCCATCTCCCCCCCGTGTCTCTCTCACCCCCCGTGTCTCTCCCACCCCCCATGTCTCCCACCCCGTGTCTCACCCCCCGTGTCTCACCCCCCGTGTCTCTCTCTCTGTGTCTCACCCCCCGTGTCTCACCCCCCGTTTCTCTCTCTCTGTGTCTCACCCCCCATGTCTCTCCCCCCGTGTCTCTCTCACCCCCCGTGTCTCACCCCCCGTGTCTCACCCACCCCGTGTCTCACCCACCCCGTGTCTCACCCCCCGTGTCTCTCCCCCCGTGTCTCTCCCACCCCCCGTGTCTCACCCCCCGTGTCTCACCCCCCGTGTCTCTCCCCCCGTGTCTCACCTCCCGTGTCTCACCACCCTTGTCTCACCCCCCATGTCTCACCCCCCGTGTCTCTCCATCTCCCACCCCGTGTCTCTCCCACCCCCCGTGTCTCACCCCCCGTGTCTCTCCATCTCACCCCCCGTGTCTCTCCCCCCGTGTCTCACCCCCCGTGTCTCACCCCCTATGTCTCACCCCCCGTGTCTCTCCCCCCGTGTCTCTCCCCCCGTGTGTCTCCATCTCCCCCCCGTGTCTCTCTCACCCCCCGTGTCTCTCCCACCCCCCATGTCTCCCACCCCGTGTCTCACCCACCCCGTGTCTCACCCCCCGTGTCTCACCCCCCGTGTCTCACCCCCCGTGTCTCACCCCCCGTGTCTCTCCATCTCACCCCCCGTGTCTCACCCCCCGTGTCTCACCCCCCGTGTCTCTCTCTCTGTGTCTCACCCCCCGTGTCTCACCCCCCGTGTCTCTCTCTCTGTGTCTCACCCCCCATGTCTCTCCCCCCGTGTCTCTCCCCACACCCCGTGTCTCACCCCCCACGTGTCTCACCCCCCACGTGTCTCACCCCCGTGTCTCACCCCCCGTGTCTCACCCCCCGTGTCTCTCCCACCCCGTGTCTCACCCACCTCGTGTCTCACCTCCCGTGTCTCACCCCCCGTGTCTCACCCCCCGTGTCTCTCCATCTCACCCCCCGTGTCTCACCCCCCGTGTCTCACCCCCCGTGTCTCTCTCTCTGTGTCTCACCCCCCATGTCTCTCCCCCCGTGTCCCTCCCACACCCCGTGTCTCACCCCCCGTGTCTCACCCCCCGTGTCTCACCCCCCGTGTGTCTCCCACCCCCCATGTCTCCCACCCCGTGTCTCACCCCCCGTGTCTCACCCCCCGTGTCTCTTCCCCCGTGTCTCACCCACCCCGTGTCTCACACCCCGTGTCTCTCCCACCCCCCATGTCTCCCACCCCGTGTCTCACCCCCCGTGTCTCACCCCCCGTGTCTCACCCCCCGTGTCTCACCCCCCGTGTCTCACCCCCCGTGTCTCACCCCCCGTGTCTCACCCCCCGTGTCTCACCCCCCGTGTCTCACCCCCCGTGTCTCTCCCCACCCCCCATGTCTCCCACCCCGTGTCTCACCCCCCGTGTCTCACCCCCCGTGTCTCACCCCCCGTGTCTCTTCCCCCGTGTCTCACCCACCCCGTGTCTCACCCCCCGTGTCTCTTCCCCCGTGTCTCACCCCACGTGTCTCACCCCCCGTGTCTCTCTCTCTCTCTGTGTGTGTAGAAGGGAACTTACTGGCCGTGTTCGTTCCACTCCTGGACGCCGTCTGCACCAACCCGTCGCGCTACGGAGAGCCGGCTCTCCTTACGGCAGCCACGCTCTCCCTCGCCAAGTTCATGACCCTCAGGTGGGTGGGTGGTGGGTGGGTGGGTTGGTGGGTGGGTGGGTTGGTGGGTGGGTGGGTTGGTTGGTGGGTTGGTGGGTGGGTTGGTGGGTTGGTTGGTGGGTTGGTGGGTTGGTTGGTGGGTTGGTGGGTTGGTTGGTGGGTTGGTGGGAGGGTGGGTTGGTGGGTGGGTTGGTGGGTTGGTTGGTGGGTGGGTGGGTGGGTGGGTTGGTTGGTTGGTGGGTTGGTTGGTGGGTTGGTTGGTGGGTTGGTGGGTTGGTTGGTGGGTTGGTTGGTGGGTGAGTTGGTGGGTGGGTGGGTTGGTGGGTGGGTTGGTGGGTTGGTGGTGGGTGGGTGGGTTGGTGGGTGGGTTGGTGGGTTGGTTGGTGGGTTGGTTGGTGGGTTGGTGGGTGCGTTGGTGGGTTGGTGGGTTGGTTGGTGGGTTGGTTGGTGGGTTGGTGGGTTGGTTGGTGGGTTGGTTGGTGGGTGCGTTGGTGGGTGGGTGGGTTGGTGGGTGGGTTGGTGGGTTGGTGGTGGGTGGGTGGGTTGGTGGGTGGGTTGGTTGGTGGGTTGGTGGGTGCGTTGGTGGGTGGGTTGGTGCGTTGGGGGTGGGTTGGTGGGTGGGTGGGTTGGTGGGTGGGTGGGTGGGTGGGTGGGTTGGTGAAGACGTTTGGGCCACCCATCGTTGACTGGCGTTTTTGATTGCACCACCCCATCCACCACCCCACCCACTACCCCACCCACCACCCCACCCACCCACCCACCCCACCCACCCACACCACCCACCCACCCCACCCACCACACCACCCACCACACCACCCACACCACCCACCCACCCACCACCCACCCACCACCCTAGCCCCCAGCTCTGTGAGTCTCGCCTGCGGCTGCTGTTCACGGTGCTGGAGAGAAGTTCCCTGCCGGGCGTCAGAGCCAACACGATGGTGGCCCTGGGCGACCTGGCGTTCAGATTCCCCAACCTGCTGGAGCCGTGGACCGCCCACCTCTATGCCAGGTGGGGGGGGGGAGATGGTGGGGGGGGGGAGATGGTGGGGGGGGGAGATGGTGGGGAGGGGGGAGATGGGGGGGGGGGGAGTCCAGGAGAATCCATCTCAATTTTTGTCTCACTCTCTCTGTGTGTCTCTCTGTCTCTGTCTCTCTCTCTGTCTGTGTCTCTCTGTCTGTGTCTCACTCTGTGTCTCACTGTCTCTCTCTGTCTCTGTCTGTGTCTCACTCTGTGTCTCACTGTCTCTCTCTCTGTCTGTGTCTCACTCTGTGTCTCACTCTGTGTCTGTCTCTGTCTGTCTCTCTCTGTCTGTGTCTCTCTCTGTGTCTCACTGTCTCTCTCTCTGTCTGTGTCTCACTCTGTGTCTCACTGTGTGTCTCTCTCTGTCTGTGTCTCACTCTGTGTCTCACTCTGTGTGTCTGTCTCTGTGTGTCTCTCTCTGTCTGTGTCTCACTGTCTCTCTCTCTGTCTGTGTCTCACTCTGTGTCTCACTCTGTGTCTCTCTCTGTCTCTCTCTGTCTGTCTCTCTCTGTTTGCGTCTCTCTGTGTCTCACTGTCTCTCTCTCTGTCTGTGTCTCACTCTGTGTCTCACTGTGTGTCTCTCTCTGTCTCTGTCTCTCTCTGTCTGTCTCTCTCTCTGTCTGTGTCTCACTCTGTGTCTCACTGTCTCTCTCTCTGTCTGTGTCTCACTGTGTCTCTCTCTGTGTCTCACTGTCTCTCTCTGTCTGTGTCTCACTCTGTGTCTCACTCTGTGTCTCTCTCTGTCTCACTGTCTCTCTCTCTCTGTCTGTGTCTCACTCTGTGTCTCACTGTGTGTCTGTCTCTGTCTCTCTCTGTCTGTCTATCTCTGTCTGTGTCTCACTGTGTGTCTCTCTCTGTGTCTCTCTCTGTCTCTCTCTCTGTCTGTGTCTCTCTCTGTGTCTCACTGTCTCTCTCTGTCTGTGTCTCACTGTGTGTCTCTCTCTGTCTCTGTCTGTCTCTCTCTGTCTGTGTCTCTCTCTGTGTCTCACTGTCTCTCTCTCTGTCTGTGTCTCTCTCTGTGTCTCACTGTCTCTCTCTCTCTGTATGTGTCTCACTCTGTGTCTCACTGTGTGTCTCTCTCTGTCTCTCTCTCTCCCTCCCTCTCTCTCTCTGTGTGTCTCTCTCTCTGTCTCTCTCTGTCTGTGTCTCTCTCTGTGTCTCACTGTCTCTCTCTCTGTCTGTGTCTCACTCTGTGTCTCTCTCTGTGTCTCACTATCTCTCTCTGTCTGTGTCTCACTCTGTGTCTCACTGTGTGTCTCTCTGTCTCTCTTTGTCTCTGTCTCTCTCTCTGTCTGTGTTTCTCTCTGTGTCTCACTGTCTCTCTCTCTGTCTGTGTCTCACTCTGTGTCTCTCTCTGTGTCTCACTATCTCTCTCTCTGTCTGTGTCTCACTCTGTGTCTCTCTGTGTCTCACTGTCTCTCTCTCTGTCTGTGTCTCACTCTGTGTCTCACTGTGTGTCTGTCTCTGTCTCTCTCTGTCTGTGTCTCACTGTGTCTCTCTCTGTCTCTCTTTGTCTCTGTCTCTCTCTGTCTGTGTCTCACTCTGTCTCTCACTCTTTGTCTCTCTGTGTCTCACTGTCTCTCTCTCACTGTGTCTCACTCTGTGTCTCACTCTGTGTCTCACTGTCTCTCACTCTGTGTCACTCTGTGTCTCTCTCTGTCTCACTCTGTGTCACTCTGTCTGTGTCTCTCTGTCTCTCTTTGTCTCTGTCTCTCTCACTCTGTGTCTCACTGTGTGTCTCACTCTGTGTCTCTCTGTGTCTCACTGTCTGTCTCTCTCTCTGTCTGTGTCTCACTCTGTGTCTCACTCTGTCTCTGTCTGTGTCTCTCTGTGTCTCACTCTGTGTCTCTCTCTGTCTGTCTCTCTGTGTCTCACTCTGTGTCTCTCTGTGTCTCTCTCTGTGTCTGTGTCTCACTCTGTGTCTCTTTGTGTCTCACTCTGTGTCTCACTGTGTCTCTCTCTGTCTGTCTCTCTGTGTCTCACTCTGTGTCTCACTCTGTCTCTCTCTCTCTGTGTCTGTGTCTCACTGTGTGTCTGTCTCTGTCTCTCTCTGTCTGTGTCTCACTGTGTCTCTTTCTGTCTCTCTTTGTCTCTGTCTCTCTCTGTCTGTGTCTCACTCTGTCTCTCACTCTGTCTCTCTGTGTCTCACTGTCTCTCTCTCTCTGTGTCTGTGTCTCACTCTGTGTCTCTCTGTGTCTCACTCTGTGTCTCTCTGTGTCTCTCTCTGTGTCTGTGTCTCACTCTGTGTCTCTCTGTGTCTCACTGTCTGTGTCTCACTGTCTGTGTCTCACTGTGTCTCTGTCTGCCTCTGTCCGTGTGTCTCCCCCGTGTCTGCTTAGGCTGAAGGACGACTGCGCCGTGGTGAGGTCTTGCTCCCTGCGAGTGCTCGCTCACCTCGTGGTGAGCGACATGGTGAAGGTACGGGGACACATCTCCAACGTAGCCGCTCTGCTCGTCGACAAGGACCCCTCCATCGCCTCGCAAGCTAGAGCGTTCTTCACGGAGCTCGCAAAGAAGGTGATGGTGGTGGTGGTGGGGGTTGTGGTGGTCGTGGTAGTGATGGTGGGGGTGATGGTGGTGATGGTGGTGGTGGTGATGGTGGTGATGGTGGTGATGGTGGTGGTGGTGGTGATGGTGGTGGTGGTGGTGATGGTGGTGGTGATGGTGGTGATGGTGGTGGTGGTGGTGATGGTGGTGGTGGTGGTGATGGTGGTGGTGGTGATGGTGGTGGTGGGGGTGATGGTGGTGGTGGTGATGGTGGTGGTGATGGTGGTGGTGGTGATTGTGGTGGTGGTGGTGATGGTGGTGGTGGGGGTGATGGTGGTGGTGGTGGGGGTGATGGTGGTGGTGGTGATGGTGGTGATGGTGGTGGTGGTGGTGATGGTGGTGGTGGTGATGGTGGTGGTAATGGTGGTGGTGGGGGTGATGGTGGTGGTGGTGGTGATGGTGGTGGTGGTGATGGTGGTGATGGTGGTGGTGGTGGTGGTGATGGTGGTGGTGGGGGTGGTGATGGTGGTGGTGGTGGTGATGGTGGTGACGGTAGTGGTGGGTGGGGGTGGTGATGGTGGTGATGGTGGGGGTGGTGATGGTGGTCGTGGTGGTGGTGATGATGGTGGTGATGGTGGTGGTGCTGTGGTGGTGCTGGTGGTGGTGATGGTGGTGGTGGTGATGATGGTGGTGGTGGTGATGGTGGTGGTGGTGGTGATGATGATGATGATGATGGTGTTGATAGTGATGATGATGTTGTTGTTGCTGCTACAGGACAACGCTTTGCCAGGCTGTGTGATGATGATGTTGATAGTGATAGTGATGATGTTGTTGTTGCTACAGTACAACGTTCTGCCAGGCTGTGTGATGATGATGTTGATAGTGATGGTGATGATGTTGTTGTTGTTGCTGCTACAGGACAACGCTTTGACAGGCTATGTGATGATGATGTTGATAGTGATGGTGATGATGTTGTTGTTGCTACAGTACAACGCACTGCTAGACTGTGTGATGATGATGTTGATAGTGATGGTGATGATGTTGTTGTTGTTGCTACAGTACAACGCTTTGACAGGCTGTGTGATGGTGATGTAGATAGTGATGGTGATGATGTTGTTGTTGTTGCTGCTACAGGACAACGCTTTGACAGGCTATGTGATGATGATGTTGATAGTGATGGTGATGATGTTGTTGTTGTTGTTGCTACAGTACAACGCACTGCTAGACTGTGTGATGATGATGTTGATAGTGATGGTGATGATGTTGTTGTTGCTGCTACAGGACAACGCTTTGACAGGCTGTGTGATGATGATGTTGATAGTGATGTTGTTGTTGTTGCTGCTACAGGACAACGCTTTGACAGGCTGTGTGATGATGATGTTGATAGTGATGGTGATGATGGTGTTGTTGTTGTTGCTACAGTACAACGCTTTGACAGGCTGTGTAATGATGATGTTGATAGTGATGGTGATGATGTTGTTGTTGCTGCTACAGTACAACGCTGTGACAGGCTATGTAATGATGATGATGATGTTGTTGTTGTTGATAGTGATGATGTTGTTGATAGTGATGATGTTGTTGTTGCTGCTACAGGATAACGCTTTGACAGGCTATGTAATGATGATGTTGATAGTGATGGTGATGATGATGTTGTTTTTGTTGCTGTTGTTGTTGCTGCTACAGGACAACGCTCTGTACAACGCCTTGCCAGACATTGTGAGCCGCCTCTCCGATCCAGAGGAGGGGATTGCAGAGGAACCATTCCACACCGTCATGCGGTGAGCGGTGGTGGTGGTGGTGGTGATGGTGGTGGTGATGGTGATGGTGGTAGTGGTGATGGTGAGTGAGTGAGTGGTGGTGGTGTGGTGGTAGTGGTGGGGTCGTGGTGGTGGTGAGTGGGTTGGTGGTGAGTGGGGTGGTGGTGATGGGGAGCGGTGGTGGTGGTGGTAGTGATGGGGAGCGGTGTTGTTGTAGTAGTAGTGGTGGTGTTGTAGTGGTGGTGGTGGTGAGTGGGGTGGTGGTGATGGGGAGCGGTGGTGTTGTAGTGGTGGTGGTGTTGTAGTGGTGGTTGGTGGTGGTGGTGAGTGGGGGTGGTGATGGGGAGCGGTGATGTTGTAGTGATGGTGGTGATGGGGAGCGGTGGTGTTGTAGTGGTGGTGTTGTAGTGGTGGTGGTGGTGGTGAGTGGGGTGGTGGTGATGGGGAGCGCTGGTGTTGTAGTGGTGGTGGTGGTGAGTGGGGTGGTGGTGATGGGGAGTGGTGATGTTGTAGTGGTGGTGGTGATGGTGATGTTGTAGTGGTGGTGGTGATGGTGGTGTTGTAGTGGTGGTGGTGGTGAGTGGGGTGGTGGTGATGGTGAGCAGTGGTGTTGTAGTGGTGGTGGTGGTGATGGTGAGTGGGGTGGTGGTGATGGGGAGCGGTGGTGCAGCGGTTAGCGCTATGAACCCGGCGACCCGGGTTCGATTCCCGCTCACGGCCAACGACACCAGTGATGGCGATTATCTGAACCGGTCCTGGGCCTCCCCTAGGTCGGCTGGGCCTCAAATGAGTAGCTGGTGTAGCGGTGCGTCGTGAACATCGCCACTGGGGAGACAAAGGCGGCCGGGCGTGGTGCTGGCCACTCACCCCCTCGTGTGCCGTTCCGGCCTTCACAGGGTGCTGCTCGCTAACACCACTTGCCCCTACAGTCTGTTGAGGCTATACGGGGAACTTTGTCTTTGTAATGGTGGTGATGATGATGAGTTGGTGTAATAATAATGGTGGTGGAGGTGGTGATGATGGTGGTGATGGTGGTGATGGTGGTGGTGGTAGTGATGGTGGTGGTGATGGTGGTGGTGGTAGTGATGGTGGTGATGGTGGTGATGGTGGTGATGGTGGTGCTGAGTTAGGTGGTGGTGAGTGGTGTGGTGGTGATGATGATGATGATGGCGGTGGTGAGTGGCGGTGGTGGTGATGATGGTGGTGGTGATGGTGGTGGTGATGGTGGTGGTGATGATGGTGGTGGTGATGGTGGTGGTGATGGTAGTGATGGTGGTGGTGTGGTGGTGGTAATGGTGGTGATGGTGATGGTGGAGGTGGTGGTGGTGATGGTGGTGTTGGTGATGGTGGTGATGGTGGTGATGATGGTGATGGTGGTGGTGATGGTGGTGGTGGTGATGGTGGTGATGGTGGTGGTGGTGATGGTGGTGGTGGTGGTGATGGTGGTGGTGATGGTGATGGTGGTGGTGATGATGGTGGTGATGGTGGAGGTGGTGATGGTGATGGTGATGATGGCGATGGTGGTGGTGGTGATGGTGGTGATGGTGGTGATGGTGCAGGCAGCTGTTCAGCTACATCCAGAAGGACCGCCAGGTGGAGAGTTTGGTGGAGAAGCTTTGCCATCGCTTCCGGACCACCAGGTGATGGACAACACCAACACCATCAACATCATCATCAACACCATCATCAACATCATCATCGTCACCACCATCATCAACATCATCATCAACACCATCAACATCATGATCAACACCATCATCAACATCATCATCATCAACACCATCAACAACACCATCATCATCACTACCATCACCACCAACACCATCCCCATCATCATCATCACCATCATCATCAACACCACCATCATCATCACTACCATCATCATCAACACCATCATCAACACCTTCATCATCACCATCATCAACACCATCATCAACACCACCATCATCATCACTAACATCATCATCAACACCATCAACAACACCATCATCACCATCATCATCAACACCACCATCATCAACACCATCATCAACACCATCATCACCATCAACAACACCATCATCAACATCATCACCATCATCAACAACATCATCACCATCATCAACACCATCACCATCATCACCACCATCATCAACACCATCAACAACACCATCATCAACATCACCATCATCAACAACATCATCACCATCATCACCAACACCACCATCAACACCATCAACACCATCATCATCATCATCAACACCACCATCATCATCAACATCATCATCACCAACACCATCATCAACATCATCAACACCATCATCATCAACACCATCAACACCATCATCAACACTATCATCATCATCACCATCAACACCACCACCATCAACACCACCACCATCAACACCATCATCATCACCATCATCAACACTACCAACACCATCACCAACACCATCACCACCATCATCAAAACCATCATGACCACTACCATCACCATCATCACCTTCATCACCACCATCATCACCACCATCAGCACCACCATCATCAACACCATCACACCATCACCACCATCATCGACACCATCAACACCATCACCACCATCATCGACACCATCACTACCACCACCACCATCACCACCATCATCACCACCATCATCAACACCATGAACACCATCACCACCATCACCACCATCATCAACACCATCATCAACACCATCATCAACACCATCATCACCATCATCAACACCATCAACACCATCATCACCATCATCAACATCATCACCACAATCATCAACACCATCATCAACACCATCAACATCATCACCACCATCATCAACACCACCACCGCCATCAACACCACCACCATCATCAACACCATCAACACCATCATCAACTCCATCACTGCCATCATCACCACCATCATCAACACCATGAACACCATCACCACCATCATCAACACCATGAACACCATCACCACCATCATCAACACCATCATCAACACCATCAACATCATCACCACCATCATCAACACCATCACCACCATCATCAACACCATCATCACCATTATCAACACCATCACCACCATCATCAACACCATCAACATCATCACCACCATCATCAACACCATCATCAACACCATCATCAACACCACCATCAACACCATCATCAACACCATCAACACCATCATCAACACCATCACTACCATCACCGCCATCATCGACACCATCACCGCTATCATCGATACCATCATCAACACCATCATCAACACCGTCATCACCATCATCACCATCATCAACACCATCATCACCACCATCATCAACACCATCACCACCATCATCAACACCATCAACATCACCACCATCATGAACACCATCACCACCATCATCAACACCACCATCATCAACACCACCATCATCACCACCATCACCGTCATCATTTTCACGTGGGGAGAGAGCCACGCGGAGACTCCTTGAGTCTCTCTCCGCACCGTGTCTCTCTCCCCTCCCCCCCCCCCCCCGTGTCTCCTCCCCCCACCCCCCGTGTCTCTCTCCTCATGTCTCTCCTCCCGTGTCTCTCTCCCCCCGTGTCTCTCTCCTCGTGTCTCTCCCCCCGTGTCTCTCTCCCCCCGTGTCTCTCTCCCCCCGTGTCTCTCTCCTCGTGTCTCTCCCCCCGTGTCTCTCCCCCGTGTCTCTCCCCCCCCCCGTGTCTCTCCCCCCCCCGTGTCTCTTCCCCCCCCCCGTGTCTCTCTCCCCCCATATCTCTCTTCCCCGTGTCTCCCCCCCGTGTTCTCCCCCCCGTGTCTCTCTCCCCGTATCTCTCTCCCCCGTGTCTCTCCCCCCGTGTCTCTCCCCCCGTGTCTCTCTCCCCCCGTGTCTCTCCCCCCGTGTCTCTCTCCCCCCGTGTCTCTCCCCCCCGTGTGTCTCTCCCCCCGTGTGTCTCTCTCCCCCCGTGTCTCTCTCCCCCTCGTGTCTCTCCCCCCGTGTCTCTTCCCCCGTGTCTCTCCCCCCGTGTCTCTCCCCCCCGTGTCTCTCTCCTCCCGTGTCTCTCTCTCCCCCGTGTCTCTCTCCCCCGTGTCTCTCTCCCCCCGTGTCTCTCTTCCCCCGTGTCTCTCTCCTCCCGTGTCTCTCTCCCCCCGTGTCTCTCTCTCCCCGTGTCTCTCTCCCCCCGTGTCTCTCCCCACGTGTCTCTCTTCCCCCGTGTCTCTCTCCTCCCGTGTCTCTCCCCCCGTGTCTCTCTCTCCCCCCGTGTCTCTCTCTCACCCGTGTCTCTCTCCCCCTCGTGTCTCTCCCCCCGTGTCTCTCCCCCCGTGTCTCTCCCCCCGTGTCTCTCCCCCGTGTCTCTCTCCCCCGTGTCTCTCTCCCCCGTGTCTCTCTCCTCGTGTCTCTCCC